ATAGAACTTCTTCTATATCTTTGTTCAAGGCCAAAACTTTCATAGATCAGTCCCATTCACATCCCCATCACGAGCATCATTTGTATGATGAATCCATTTTCCTCTCATTCCTTACCATATGGAGTGGGCAATATGTAACGAATGACATAGGATTTAAAGTTGAGACCACTAGGAAGAGGAACCACTCTTTTTGCTCATAATTTTTTTGATGATGTCGAGCATGAATGGAGATTAAGTCTTGTGCACTTTGTACACACAGTATGTTTAAATTATTGATGTACTGAGTACATCGCTTTGTAAAAAGGCATATTCCATGCTTTTGAACAAGTCAAGCCTCATACTCCTCGTGGGCACAGTTAATGTGAATTATTGAAGGGTGCAAGGACGATTTTTCCTCCATAAAAGGAGATTTCCTCTTTGTAAGATCATCGAAATTCAAAAATGAAACACCCGTTTCAATATGTTCTCTCCAAGTTTCTAAACAGCCTTTTCCTTCTCTCCAGTCTTTTGAAGTGAGGTATATATGATCAGAAAAAGGGTTTAGTACGCTTTGAAGTGGCCTTCTTAGGATCCTCCGTATCAGAAAGATCACATTGCTGAACAAAATATCCAGCTTGAGTGAGCCATAATCATAAGACTAATACCGATGACATATTGAAATGATTGCTTCCAGTTTACAAGGCCAATGTCTCACCCTGCATGAAATAGCAAGCACAGGAGTGAAAAGAGAAGTGATACGCTTCCAAAATATAGAAACTAATTTACAGCACTGCACGTTTACATCGTCTCTCCCTATGTGAATTAAAAAGTGCTAAGAGCTAAAAGAGAAGTCAATAAATATACATTTCCAAATTATAGAAACCAAATCAATTGATGGTAATCCAGATCCAGAGATTTCATAAAAGATCAGAGAAGAGAAGAATGATAGAATCTGTTCTGGACAGAGACACGACTATGTGATAAAATTTCAACATCAGACCAATTCACGGCTAGCCAGGTGTCAGTTTTTAGCAAGTAAAAAACACAGAATTTATCGTTCTTTTCTGCAAATTTGAACAATTTGATTTAATTAGCACGACTTTTGAACACGTCAAGCCCCATCTCACTTGGATCAGTTGCTTGCAGCTCTACCTGAATGCCATCTAATTCCCTCTTGAACCTGTCTTTGGAGCTAGCATAAATCATTTTGCTTCTCACCCTTGCTGTGTCAGGGGACCTTAGCAAGGAGATAGCAGTTACTAGTTAGCAATCCAACATAAATTTGGGGGGTATACACTTGCTATGTTCATGGGAAGAAAAAAAATTACCAAGCAATGAAAAAAATCTTGCTCTTTTGGCAATTCTCTTGAGTCACAAAGTCAAAATCATAGACAGCATATCGGCACTCATCAGCTGGAAGGCTTGCAGTGAAGTCTTCATAAGTTAAAGTTGGTTCACCAAGCTTTTCCACAATTACCTGCTTTTGCTTCTCCTCGATCTTGAATACTATGAAACGGTATGTTCTTTTTGCTTTCAATTCCAAAAATTTTAGCTTGCAGTCATCATGCACTGCCATTCCTGATGCTGCGTTAGCCTACACATAGTGATTGAAAAACTATAACTAGTGAAAATGTTGAAATTCCAAGAATTATGTATGCTTTAGAGAGTATTACACTAATTATTATGACTTCTGACGAGATACAAACAACTTTGCAATGGACGACAATCTAAAAAGGCAAATTTGACACATAATTGAGGGATGGGGTTTGCCATTACAGGGCAGTTATATATACTAACAAAATTATATTAGAAATTTTAAAGGAAACCATGCCCCCAAAAAAATATTGTTCTCAATTTAAACGAAACTAGGAACCTGTCTTTCAAACACAACCTTATCAGTTCTTTACGTATCTAATTGACTCTAGGTAGTCAATACATGCATTCCAATTGCATTGCAAAACCCTTGAATTAATGACAAACGAGCAGAAATGGGACTAAACTGGCATATCTAAATCCAACTGATCCAGCTACCTAACAGCCAGAGCTAGAATCTAAAATATTGCATAGTTAAATGTCAAAAAATAAATAAATATATTGTTTTAAGATACCAAAAGGAGGAGTTTGTATTTGCAATTGTGCATTTAAAAGAAACCGACACATAAAATATTACAGCAATTCATTTAGTGTCAAAAAATCGGATAACCAGATTTCTAAAGAAGCGTCACATTATTAAGTAAATTAGGTCAAAATAACAGCAATTCGCATTGCCAAGAATATTCCATGAAAGCTGTTCTGGAGTCTGTGGACAATGTCATTGACTCCTAGAGTGGAAAATAAACTTAAGCACTTGTTTGGTTTGGATTAAAATCTGATCTTAATCTATGTCAAAGTCAAACAATTAATATTAATAACATCTTTTATAGGTCCCACAACTTTTTAACCATACATTTCAAAAATTTATATCACAATCTACTAAAAAGTCTGATTTTAATCCCAACCAAACATCCTCTAAGACGGGACTAAACTGGCATATCTAAATCCAACTGATCCAGCTACCTAACAGCCAGAGCTAGAATCTAAAATATTGCATAGTTAAATGTCAAAAAATAAATAAATATATTGTTTTAAGATACCAAAAGGAGGAGTTTGTATTTGCAATTGTGCATTTAAAAGAAACCGACACATAAAATATTACAGCAATTCATTTAGTGTCAAAAAATCGGATAACCAGATTTCTAAAGAAGCGTCACATTATTAAGTAAATTAGGTCAAAATAACAGCAATTCGCATTGCCAAGAATATTCCATGAAAGCTGTTCTGGAGTCTGTGGACAATGTCATTGACTCCTAGAGTGGAAAATAAACTTAAGCACTTGTTTGGTTTGGATTAAAATCTGATCTTAATCTATGTCAAAGTCAAACAATTAATATTAATAACATCTTTTATAGGTCCCACAACTTTTTAACCATACATTTCAAAAATTTATATCACAATCTACTAAAAAGTCTGATTTTAATCCCAACCAAACATCCTCTAAGACCAAAACAGAGAATTGTGCAAGTTCTGAATATTGGTTAAAAACACTTCTTGATGCTTCAACGTTTATTCTCCAGACTCAATATTTAGGCTTCAGATCACAAAATTCAACTTGTAGAAGCATAAAGTGCATCTCTGAGTAACTTATCTACGTCAATAAGCACATAGTGCAAAATTTGTAATTTGATTACAGAAAGCAGACACAAGCATTTGTTGATTTGCCAGGGTACATTTTCTCTCAATATGAATTCAGGCTTTATTAAAGACCTATTATTTTCAATATGTATTTATCTGTTTATATTTTTGAGAAATAACTTCACCAATCTTCAATGCAGCAAAGTTTTTTGTAATATACCAATTCCAGCAAGAAATCATAGAGAAAGAAGAAAACGAAAAATATATTGCCCAGCAAATGACACACAAGTCGACCAGCATGGGCTGGGGGGCCAGATATTTTTGTGCCAGCTCGGAGTAGGATATTTCCCATGCCGATATAGAAGGTGGGTCGGCTGGTGCCAGGTTGCACCAATTCACCCCACTTTACACCTCTAAGCTGAGTTGTGACTCTCATGTGAGTACTACAGGTGCTAGCTGTTTGGCTGGAGGGTTGGGTTGCTGTTACTGGGCTGAAAGGCTGGAATAATGTTGTACGCTGATGGGTCATATGGCCTGTTGATTGGGCAGGACAATTGAACTTTCAGAATTTTCTGACTGAAAGGTCGAGACCAACTGCAAGAATTGGCTGAGATCTGATTGGGCTCGTCTTATGGATGAGTGACGAACCAAATTGACACAAAGAATACTAGTGGGCCAAGTAGGATTCATTTGGGCGGCTACCGTGTTGATGAATTAAGTCTGTCAACCTATTAATTTTGTGGGGAAATAGCGTAGCAGTTCCTCTATCAAATGATGAAAGATACTGATAATTGTGGCTTTAGCAAGGGGTTTAGTCTCAGCAACGAGTAGCGTCTAAGTAGAATAGTAAGGAGAAAGTGATGAGGACATCCAATTATTTATTTTAAGTGACATCCAGTTTATTTGTTTCATTTTAGTTGGACTGTTATTTTGTTTATTTTAGTTGGGTTATTTATTTATGGACTTGTGTAATGGGCTTAGCCCTCTCTCTTTAGATTTTTGTTATTTAAATCTTTTTCGCCATGTAATGGAGAGTTGATGAATGAATAAAACTTTTGGTGGCTTGTGGCGAATTCTCTCTTCCTACATTCTTCTATTTCTTCTAGTGATTCTTCTATCGTTCTTCCTATAATCTCTTCTTTCCCGAACTATTTTCTTTCTCCACTAATCGTGTCATTCTATCTTGCATCAAATTTGGTATAAGAGCCGAAACTTGGATAAGTCCTCTTCTAAAATCCAAAATTTCTTCCCACCCTCTTCCCAAAATTTTGTAGATCCCAAAACTTGTGGAACAACACAAAAACAATGGCAGTAACAATTTTTTTTAGTTTTTCCCATTTTGTCATTATTTGTTCCTCGTAAAAAAAAATGTACTGTTCCCGGGTACTGTTCACCCGCGAAAAAAAAAATAAAAAAAATCCGATTTGTTATGTTACTGTTGCTGCTTCCTACAAACCCTAATCCATACACACAATCCATTATTAATCCAAACAGCCCATTATAACACCCAGTCAAATATTCTAGTCTCCAAATCATTTAACCCGTTACTCAAGCCCAATCTACATCCACATAATCATAAGTAGCCCGAGTCCCAGAGACCATTATCCACATCTCATATTCAACCCAATAAGGCCATTACATCAACCCCATTATTGGAGTACATGGATCTCCAGTGAGCCGCTATAGCAATTGGATCCAGATTTATTGGAGCTTTATCGGAGTCAGCAGGATCTTCCTTTACCCAGATCGCCTCCCGTTCACCCAAGGGGAGTTGGTTAGGACACCACATTCAGACCTCCACTGACACATTTCTACAGACGTCGGAAGAAGCTTGCCCAACCACTCAACTTATGGTTGGGAGATTAACTGCAACCTATATTGATATATCCACTCGACAGAGTCAAGTTTTCTCCCACTCCGAGAGAGTTGATGAGGACATCTAGTTTATTTGTTTCATTTTAGTTGGACTGTTATTTTCTTTATTTTAGTTGGGTTATTTATGGACATGTGTAATGGGCTTGGCCCTCTCTCTTTAAGTTTTTGTTATTTAAATCTTTTTCGCCATGTAATGGAGACTTGATAAATGAATAAAACTTTTGGTGACTTGTGGCAAATTCTCTCTTCTTACTTTCTTCTAGTGATTCTTCTATCGTTCTTCCTATAATCTCTTCTTTCCCGACCTATTTTCTTTCTCCACTAATTGTGTCATTCTATCCTGCATCAGACAGAGAGAACATAGAAGAGAGAAGAATAATTGGAATAATTAGAGAGAAGTGCTGGAATCACTAAAAATTAAAAATCAATTATCTACATTATCAAAAAATCTATAAGGCTAATAGTTATGTAAAGAAATTAAATTAAATTACAAAGATAAATCCAATCTACTTTTACTAGTACACCTAAATTAAGTGTGCTGTAGGCATTTCTCCGATTAAATCTCTGTCTTAATGCTCACATAGGGTATGTTTGGCATAATTTTTGCTTTTGCTTACTATAGAACAACTTTTGGAGGAAGTTATCTTAATTTTAGTTTGGACACTAATTTTTAAAAGAGTGTCATATTCCGAAAATACTTTTAAAGGGAGGCATATTGGACCAACTTCCTCTAAAATCCTCTAATTAGAAGAAGTACATTTATAAAATTAGTGAAATGGTCCAAAAGCAAATTTTGATCTCAAAAACTCTTTTCGCTTTTGAAAGTCATGTCAAACGAATCCATAGTCATCTTATTTTTGCTTTCTCAACAATTTAAGAAATATAAAATCACATAAGCCATATTCAAGAATTATAAGCTCTTCACAGCTGCAAAGCTTCTGCTCCAACAAATTTGAAAATAAAGATTTTGTGCTTGCTTGAGTAAGCTTAAGCTTTTAAGTACTTACATGTTAAAAATTAATTAAAAAAAAGGGTAAAAGTTGTGGGCCTATGGAATGTGTGCATAAAAATAAAGTTGACTAGCTTATAAGCATTGATAAGTTTTGTAAAATATGCATTTAAGCCCTTATAGTATGCTGTCAGTTTTTCATTCACATTTAAGTATAAGGTTCTCCATCTTAACAAAGGGAAGAATATTCACTAAAACCTTACACGGTAATTTGGTACATTCTTAAGCACATGAACATATCGACCAAAATCTTTCTTCACTTTGCTTATGGCATTATAAAGGTCATTCCAACTCCAATAACTGTCTCTCACTTCTATTACACAAAAGAAACACTGGAGACAAAGGTTTTCGATTAAGACCCACATCATTTACTACAAAAGTCAAGTCATAGCATATACGTGATGTATTTATAATCTAACATGTACAGCTTGTCACATCAAGAACCCAACAATTGCAGCAAAAAAGTTTCAGTTGTTATATGTGACAATAAGACGTGGAAATGAACCCATGGAGATGATTGCCCTACCATTTATTTAAGGACAAATGTTGCCACATGCCCACAAAATGAATCCTGCTCCAGAAGACTTTTATAAATCTAAAATCCAACATATAAAGAGTACAGTGCAAGTGATGTCTTAGTCTTATGTGCAATTGCCACGTGTGGTAATAAAAGTTGTTATGATAACACTTATTTAATATAGGATAACACATTGATCCTATTCACTGAAGAAACTAAAGCCCCGTTTGGGAGGGATTTTGAGAATTGATTTTTTGATCGTTAGAAGAAAATTGGGGTCCACCTGTGAGAAAAGAAGTCAAAATTACTGCTGAAATAGTGATATAACGGTCAAAAAATAAGTTTTTTGGGGTAAAAAATCCCTCCCAAACAGGCTATAAATTTTATAAAGAAGCTAGAATGGGAATATTGCATTTTGTGTCTTCTTCCCATGCAATAGATCAGTACACATGAGCAGGAACTTGTACAAAACTTCTCTTTCTTTGCATTTCCATACAACACGCCGACTCCATTAAAAGATTTAGCCACCTCATTTCCCCAAATTCATTGCTACAATATACATAAGCTACCAGTATAACCCAGACTCCAGACCAGCCACACCCAAGAGTGAAGAAATGACATATTGCATGAGTTCAATGGCAAAAAAATTTCTTTAAAATAATTCTTCCATATATTATATCTAAACTTCAAAATGTGGTCAATAACAAATTACAGTAATTTAACTTACTAGTCAATCTCAATCAAACTATTTTGGAAAAGAGTTATCCCAATTAAAGAATAGTTCTATATTTATTCCAATTCAAATTAATCAGATTAATTGTCTTTACATAATCAAACTTATGTTCATATCATTTCAGAGTAATTGCAATTCAACATATTTAGATAGCACCCCACCCCCACCCCCAACCCAAACAAAAATCGACTTATTTCATCATCATCTAATGTGAGCTAACATACCAAACTAAAATAATAATATTTTTCACAAGAAAAATCTAATGTAAGCCAACATACCAAACTAAAATAATAATATTTTTTTTTACAAGAAAAAGAGCACAAAAATTTTAGTCCCATTAATGTAATCTCATTAACATATCCAAAATCAGACCATCAATAGACGATCTAAGATCAGAGGATTACGCAAATGTTAGTCGCTAGATCAACAACCAAAATAAAACCTAAACTCAGATCCATAAGCTCATAAAACAAAACAAAACAAAAGCTCAATCAACCTGAGCACAAAAAGTACCCAGCATTTCTACTTTTAACTGCACAAACTATAAAGCTCGCAAATCAAACACCAAATAAATGCAAAATATAATAAAAGAGAACTTTGAAAACTATCGAGAAAAAGGATATATAAACAAATGATCTAGCATTTCTCCTTTCTACAGCATAAACTCTTAAGATTGCAAATCAAGCACCAAAAGAAAATGAAAAATAGAGATGGAAAAAAGACTACAAGAAAATCACTGTGTAACAGAAAAGTACCTAGCACGAGTGTAAGAAATAAGGATAGAGATGTAAAAAGCGTCCGGGAAAAAATTCGTACCATGGCAGAAAAATGCGATCGGAGAAGATCGAGGAACTTTGAGCGACAAAATTCAGTCCTCAAAATAGACGTGCGTCGCTTTTATAGTTGTACTTGAAGAAAGCGTCAAGTATACGGTGGAGACTGGAAAACTGGGAACAGAGAAATATGTTCTCTATGTTCGGAGTGTGCTCAAAATTCAAATGTTTAGTGTGCCCCTGAAGTTACAGGCGTTCCCACCAACGATGTAGAATTTCATGGGCAAATTAGTCTTCTTGCGACTTCAACTTTTTCTTTGTTTTTATTCTTTTCTATTTTGAGCTTGTTTGAGAGTGATTTTGAGAATTGATTTTTTGATCGTTAGGAGAAAAGTGAGGTCCACTTGTAAGAGAAGAAGTCAAATATGACGACTGGAATAGTGAAATAACGGTCAAAAAATCAATTTTTTGGGTGAAAAATCGGGCCCAAACAGGCCCTTTTTAAAGATTAGAGTGTAGAGTTAGACTTAGAGCCGTGTGATTCCCATTTTGATAAGAATGAAATTGAAAAATATAGTCGTTATATAATTCACACAAGGTATAAAAAGTCAAATACGATGGTTTGATGTGATAGATTACGATCATACTTTTCATTTTTGTGCTAAAAGAATGGGAATTAAACGAGATCTTAACTGTTCATTAGTCACTGAATTTTGTACCACGTCACGACTTAATCATCGAACTTTCAAACTTGTCATATTGACCACTGAACTTTAATTCATTACTGTTCAATACTCACGGTCTGAAATCTGTTACTTGACGCTTGTACATGGCGGATGGAAAGTCTAGCTAGCCAATAAAATCCTTCCAAACGTTAAAAGTTTTGCCAATCAACCTCCATGTCGTCATATTAAACACGTCTTTGCCAATTTTAATGCACGCCTTTCACTTTCAATAGAGCCTAAACAATACTTTGGTTATCTCCTCCCAAATCAAGGTTTCTTTGTGAAATTGAAACTCAAAAACCCTAGGTTCACCTGAAGAAATCATCTTTTCCAAGATCTCTCAAATCCTAACATTTTCAAATTCATTTTCTTCCAAATATTACGCGAAGTCTGTGTGTTCCGAGAATCCATTCAATTCTTCTAGGTAAACTGGGTATCCTAAATCAAGTAAAATGTACTCAATTACTATGTTTCAAAATTACATAAATGGAAATATAGTGGATCAGTTAATTGGTTTACATATAAAAAGCCATGCAATGAACTATTTGTTATACTAGTCAAGAATATTATTCTGAAATTCTTTATGTGTTATGAAAGTAATATTTGAAGTTACGTGAATATGAAAAATAATTAATAAAATTTTATGAACTTTTTATTTAATGAAAACTGTATATTTTTTGTGAGATTAAGGGTATTTGGCTTAACTAAAATATTTTTAGTTGCTACAGAAATTCCTCTTGAAAGTGCAACGTATAACTGTCAATACGAGAATACATGTAAAGAAAGATATATGCTGGCATGAAGTATTATCTATCTTTGGTCTTGTTTATTGTCATTGCAAAACCCAATTCGGCTAAATACCTCTCCGTTGCCGTGTTAGGAAGAAAAGCAAAATGATTAATGACTAAAATGAAATAACAACCAATTTGTAAAAATAATATAAATAATTGAGGAAGTCAATTGAAATAGTCCCTCCATTAACCATTTTGATCTAAATAGGAGAGAAATACAAGTCCCTAAAAGTAAATGTTAATTAGTATATATGCATGTAAAATAGTGAAATGCATACTCAATGCCGGCCCTAAGATTTTTAAGGCCCTAGGCGATTAATTTATATAAGGCCCTTCAACATAATATTTTATTTTACAAGTGTAATAATATTTAATATTTAAATAGTTAACACTTTTATATTAAAAAGAAAACTTTATACAATCAAAAGATAGAGTAGCAAAATAAAACTTCTCTCGCAATCTTACATATTAGGCTAGCATAAGATTTAACCTTCTTGCATTTTGAGATGTAAAATTAGTAATCAAACTACTAAAATCAACTTTTTCCAAACTTCTCCAAAAAGAAAGGATTCAACAATAACAAATGACCTGCAAATATGTAGTTATAGAGGATAAGTGAAAGACCGCGTTGAGCAAATAACTAAAGGATAAAAAAAGTCTATTACAACACATTAAGGGGGTTTTTTTTCTTGAAGGTTCAATATTAAAATCATCAGGTAAAATCGGATTAATTTATTACTAAATAAAATTTAAAAATCAAAAGTGAAATTCTCAAATATTAACACTAAAACCGCATCTGCTCACTTACAAAATGCCCTCCCTTATCCTTATTGAGTTAAACTCGTGATCTTTAGTCCCATCACAGTTCACACAATCAAAATCTGCGAAGACACGAGTTAAACTCTTTTCTTCATTTTATTAATATAATATAATTAATATTAATAAATTCATTCTCTTTCTTAGTGGGTTGGATTTTAATTGAATTTTGTTGATTACGGTAGTTCGAATGGATTAATGGAATGCCCCTATTATGATTATTGCTTCTTTCCATCACTAATGGCATATCAAATTATAAAAACTTGGTGCAGTGAACTCACAAATTTTGGAACAATGAATTTATGCCAGTAGTTTTTACGTGTTTACACACTTGGCTGATCCACTGGGGCCCATGACCCACTTCTGTTGAACCACGTGGCATCTTATCTAAGGCCCCTATCCCAACAAGAACACCAGCATATTATAACAGCACCAGGCGTGGTCCAAGTGCTGCCACCAAAGCTAATACGCCGAGGAGATCTCCTAGCCAATGCCCTTCTTAGCCGAGGCCATTCTATCTGAAGTCCTGAGGCTCTAAGCAGCGCTGCTTCCCAAAGATCCGGTCTTACACAAGAATCCTCCCTGAGTGATTGATGGGACACCCATCATAGAGCACAAGTGCCTTGTTTTGTCAACATAGTGGCAGAGCCGCCAATTAATTAATGTGTAGCAGGCTAGGAAGTCAAATGTGACACCTATAATTGGACATGTAAACTTCCGAAATGAAGCCACGTGTACTCCTAACCAAGGGCCACGATCTAAGTTGTAATACTATAAATACTCTCCATGTATCTCTCACAAGGGTAATGTAAGAATCAATACAAGGAACAACACTTTACTCAACTCTCTCTTATTATCTTACAACACAATACGAGTTTACACATTTTTACATTCACATTTACAAATATCGATTGGTAATTATTATACAATCGGTCTACAAACATCTCGTCAGATTTCAAACGTTCTCATCCCGCGCCGTTGAGCTACTCCCACGCCCTTGATCTGTCCGTTTTAGACCATCCACGTGTCTTAGCGTGTTGGACTTTCGCTTATGTGTGCATGGGTGGGTCCGGCATCTGTTGAAAACATATTCTGAGGTCAACAGATTGACACCGTCTATGGAAAATCATACTATAACCACGAGCAACCGTGTGGAAGAAGTTTATCGAAAAGAATATTTGGGCATCCCCCTTGAAAAAAGGATTTGTTCTTGCAGAAGAACAAGTGTAAGCACCACAACTTAGTAACGATCTGAGATCGGAACAGAAGAGAATGAGTTCAGACGAGGATGTACTCCCTAAGAGGGTAAGAGAAAATGTTGAAATGTCCCCACCGACAGCTGCCCCTGCAGCTCAGCATCAGCCTCACCACCACCACAGAAAAGGTGAGATGCCGATGGCCGCTCAATTGTCAAGGGAAATGGTCACCATGGCCGCAAACATGAGGGACATTGCTAGTCAAAACATGGCCATGAGAGAACTCATGACCCAAATGCAGGGCCAGGGAGGTTTTCCCATTCCTCCCTATGC